GGAAGAAGACGCTCGCGTACATGTTCATCACGGTCACCGACAGGATGATCTTACACATGGCGTCTCCAAACGGCCAGCTGAAGTCCAGCGCCGTGTCCACGGCCCAGAAAGGCAAAGTCAACACAAACTGAAAATCCGTGACGGCCAAATTGAGGATGAAAAAGTTTATTTTGGATGTGCGTCTCTCTTGTCTCACGCGAATAAAGAAGAACACCAACAGGTTCCCGATCAGACCAACGACGCAAACCACCGAGTAGGTGATGGAGATCAAGCATCTCAACACCGGACTCTCGTCGGCGGTCACATCAATGTCTTCCAGGCTTTTAAAGCTCTCGCGATCACTGATTGATCTGTTGATTACACCACTCTGATTACTGTCTCCCATTATATCCAGCGATTTCACTACTTCAGAGTTGCCCATAACGACAAATAATGTAGCATATACACTTATAGATTCATATGTACTCCTCTATAGTTAGTAAACCTATTGTTTAATCAGATTTATTACAAAATCTTAGGCTTTTTAACTGATTACTGGCAAAACATCACTCATCCTTCATCACCATTGCAGACAAGATAAAGGTTCTGAAACTATTGAGCACAATGCGACGCGCGCTAGAATTTATGTCGGGCGCTTTTTAACTGTCCCCGCCCATCGAGAGCAGCGATTCGTCTTCCCGTTTGATTGACAGGACGACGCCAAATAAACATAAGCCTATACAAAACCTTGGTGTGTCGCTCGCGTTTGCTGTAGTTTTTGGGTTCATACCATTATGAAATAACATAGCCTACATTAATATATGGGTCATTGACGTATAAGGATTTTCAACAGGCCAATTTTAAAGTACAAAAAATAATAATATCTATTATAATTGTTCAAACATTAAGAATGTTGTGTACACATAAATTCATATTAAAATTTTGCTCGCGATCACTGATTGATCTGTTGATTACACCACTCTGATTACTGTCTCCCATTATATCCAGCGATTTCACTACTTCAGCGTTGCCCATAACGACAAATAATGTAGCATATACACTTGTAGATTCATATGTACTCCTCTATAGTTAGTAAACCTATTGTTTAATCAGATTTATTACAAAATTTTAGGCTTTTTAACTGATAACTGGCAAAACATCACTCATCCTTCATCACCATTGCAGACAAGATAAAGGTTCTGAAACTACTGAGCACAATGCGACGCGCGCTAGAATTTATGTCGGGCGCTTTTTAACTGTCCCCGCCCATCGAGAGCAGCGATTCGTCTTCCCGTTTGATTGACAGGACGACGCCAAATAAACATAAGCCTATACAAAACCTTGGTGTGTCGCTCGCGTTTGCTGTAGTTTTTGGGTTCATATATAAACCTGCTTGATGCTTCCATGGGTCCTTAGTAAATTGGTATATGATGCAAAGTCCTATCTTTGAATGGATTTTAACATAAAAGTCCCAAAATGGTAGTTTCTTGATGGTCGCCGCACATGATAGTTCATAAAATGGAAATCATCGGACAAAGTTTGTTTGTATATTATGATGGAAATATAAATACAAATGCTAGGAGAGGTCATTCATATATATGGCATTTTTTTTATGCATTTAAACTAATTTTTAACTGAAAAAAAATGCAATCGGACAGAAAATGTAGGCGTCACGTCATTGACCCATATATATATATATATATAGAGAGAGAGAGAGAGAGAGAGAGAGAAATAACTTAATAGTCATTGTTTTTTGAGGTCATACCACATGATATCCAAATGTGGCAACTACATACCAGCCGTTAAAAAGGTTCTTTTTTTTTCAAAATTTGAAAGAGACTTATAAACCTGCTTGATGCTTCCATGGGTCCTTAGTAAATTGGTATATGATGCAAAGTCCTATCTTTGAATGGATTTTAACATAAAAGTCCCAAAATGGTAGTTTCAAGAAATACTTAACAGTTTATTCAGATTCATATCTTTTTATGTAAATATTATGTATAATATCATATTTATCCAGACAAAATTAGTTATGTCAAAGTTACTAAACTTGATTTACAGTCTTAAACGATCGATTTTACCTATAGCACATACTTATAAATCTACAGGCATTAAATGGTAATGACCTCAGAAGCAGAATCATGACTAAATAGCTGTCAATACACAGTTAAAGATATTTGCTAAAGTCAAGAGCAGGTGGATCCTGCCATCTTGGTAAGTTTTCACTGCCATCTGCTGTTCACACTTAAATATACACCAGTTTTTCTCAAGGCTTTTGTCAAGTTGCTCAAGTTGACTGTCACGTTAGTATATTAATACAGCCTGATACTGAAGGTTTCTAACATGACAGTTGTCGCAGGAGCATTATTGTATGAGACAATTGGAGGAATCACAGAAATCTATGCACCTATTTTAGGATTTATTTTAAAGGTAGAAAAGATTTACAATGTTCATGGCATTTGAAACACCATGTGTAATCAAAATGACTGGTGGGCTACAGAACAAAATTGAGAGAAACCATAACTTATCCATATTTTATGAGAGTTAGTTGTTTGGACTCTTTGTATGTGGATTTTATCATTCATGAATGACAACCTAATGGAGAGAGGTGCTTTAGGATAAAGCATAAAAAGAAAACATGTTTTATTTATACCATATCATCTTAAATCAGGTCTGTGTCAATTGAAAATGGGTTAAAGCCTGTTGCCCCAGATACAGTGGCTGTGATTATTTCTGAAATATTAACAGGCACCTGGTTAGTTCTCAATTTAGAATCCTCACCTTTCCACAGATTGATTCAGGCTTGTCTGACCTTTATCACTGAGCAGTATGCCATTCAACTCAAATGGGTTATGTCCATCTTACATTGTGAGTTACAGCAAGGTAAAAAAGCTATTTTTTATAGAGTTATTCAGCACAAATGTAGAGTGTAAAGTCCGAATTCTTAAATGTACTATAAGAAATATAAAATTGTATACACATCAGCTTGTTTTTTTTTAATCAAGACAAAAGCCAAAGTTAACTCAATGCATTTTATTACATCTAAATGTCTCTACATAAACAGGTAACATTCAATAGGTAAACAATTTCTTTCAATGCATGTAATAAATATTTTTTTTACTTAGTACTTTATACAAACTGACATTGGTCTACTGTACAATATGTCTTCCACATCTTAAAAATCTTTCTTTTTTTTCTTTTCATAAAACATGCCACATAGACACAGAGTGGATGAAATTTAAGGCAGTGAGCATTGATGTCAGCTTACTGAAATGGAAAATAAAATAAACTTGGACTTTGACACCAAGTCCATTCATAACACAGTTCTGCATCTAAAATATATAAATTAGTTTGTTGTGAAGTTGCGGATCCAACTTTAACACATAAATGCACATCACTGGAACATCCAAGTTTGCACAATGTTTGCCTTACATCAAGAACAAAAACATGCACACATGCTTTCATAGGCACATTCATACACACACAACCTATCCCTTTATCAATCATAAACAAAAATCAACAAATTAATGAAAACTTGTATTGTGTTTGTCATTGAACCTTGCCTGTGTATCCCTGGTAACAAATATTGTCAAATACATAATGTCATGAGACAGACACACGGAATCAAAGGACAAGAACTGTCCAGATTTGCTTGTTAAAATAAAGAGTCAATCATTAACACTGCTAGAGATCTAACAAGTACTCAATTTGGTATTAAGGATTTCGCAATAACAGCATATGTATTATTGTCTCCGTCATTTTTATCTCATTAATTACTTAACCAATTACATTTCAAACCGATCCTAGAGCCGAGAAATAAATCAACTGATAAACGTCCAATACTTTCGTAAGAAATGTTAGGTTAAAAGGAGGTTTAGAGGTCAAAGGAAACAAAACGCGATAGCTAGATTATATCACACGCAATTACCCCAGTCCCAAACCCAATTAGGCTTTGAAAGGAGGTCTGATCAACACACTGAGAGAGCCACACACACACACACACACACGCTGCAATATAACAAAGAGTGAAAAATTTAAGGGGGTCTGAATACTTTCCGTACCCACTGTATATATATATATATATAGTTTTTTAACAATTTCTAAATAAACTATTTCCATTTTATTTTTGAACACAATTTTTGCAATAAACTTCCTGTGTTAATCCCAATCAGCACTTGAAATGACATCCAAATGTGGTTACTCAATAGGATTATTTGCTTAGAAACAACAAGTCTGTAGATAAGAGCACCATATCTGATGGTCGACATGAAGAACAGATTAATATAGGCTAACTGAAATACATAATAACAGGTTCAGTCTCTCACACGCAAAACACACTCACACAAGGCACACGTGACAAAACAGAAGAAACGATGAGTGGCTTTAGCTTTCCTGTACAGTACCAAACACAGATGACCTAACAGACAACAACTGAACAGAGACCTCAGTCAAGCAAACATCTATGAGCAATTACACGCCAACACCAAGGACACCTCGTAACCTCACCATCTACGCCACTGCAGAACCTCCAAACAAATCATTCCTTCTGAAAAATTCAAGAAGAGTGGGACGGAAGGAAAGGAGAAAGAAAAAATGAATGAACAATCAAGCATGGTAGCCACACACAAAAAAAGAGAGTAAATCCTTACTTTCCACACAAAGTGTACATTTAAGTTCACTGAACTCACAAGCTCTCACTCTAGAATCTTCAACACTAAACAGTGTTCTTTTGGCATTGAGCAAGAAAACATGGATGCAAAATTGTTAGAGAATTAAATTGTTTTAAAAACAGTCATGAATTACATTTCACATAAGAATCATGAGGTCAGACATTGGCAATCTGTAACAATGCTATTACTTCCAGTTGTTAACCTGAACGTAAAGGAATGCTTCTTAACGGCCCATCAAAATAAAGGGAGTGTTCATCAAAAAATTATTTAGTCATCATTTACTCTCTTCCAAACCTGTATGACTTTCTTCTGTGCAACACAAAAGAATGTTTTAATGGGGTCTAAAACAACACTGAACCCCACCGACTTTCATTGTATGGGGGGGGGAAAACACTGAAAATATTTTCTTTTGCGTTCCGCAGAAGAATATACAATATGAGGGTGTGTAAACGATGACAGAATGTTCATTTTTGGGTGAACTTTCCCTTTAAAAGCATTATATAAAATCCTACATGTTTCGGGGAAATGTTATGGATTGGCAAAGACAACAAGTTTTGCTGGGAAAAGAACCAAGAGTCCGGCAGACGGTCCGATCGCAGCCATTGTGCCCTGTGAAATCAGACAAAATAAAGACGATTACAGAATATGATGGGTGAAGGACATAAAAAGTGTTCATATTATGTTAAAGAGGTTGAGACAAAGCTGTGAAGAAAAAAGGAGCGTCAGTTTCCCAGGAGACAAAACCCAAAGTAATTTTAGCAAGCCAGAGAGGAAGAAAAACGCTTTCAAGTTTACATATACATTAGATAGCTAGATAAGTATATACAAAAGTAAAACAAAAAATATATTTGTTCTCTGTACACGGCAACGATTATCATCGTTTACAAAAACACCCTTCAGTCATCCTGTATGTCCCGTTTTCTTCCCAATGTTTGGAAGTCTCTTCAGTCAGTTTCGGTCCTGGGTCAGTCTAAAGAGATGACGTCTGGGATGGGACCGTAGATGGCAGACGTGGGGGCCGATTCGGAGGTGGGGCATGGGGCGGGTGGATGTCCAAGGCTTTCCCGCAGGCTGCTGGAGGACACCAGGCTACTCCCGTTAATGGGAGGGAGGTTGTTGCTTGCGGGGGTAGAGGGAGGGTCCAGGAAGAGCTGGGACGAGCCGTATGGGAGAAAACGACTCAGGAGGAGGTCGTGATCTTCAGAGGCTGATGCGGCTGCTGCCATCACCATGTTGTAGTGCTGGAGAGACAGTCAAAAAAATTAATAGTCAGGCCAAGAAAAGTTTGGATTGTTACCTGATGATTCTCTCCTTGTAAAAAAGGAAAAAAGTTGAGCTCTGTAACAGATAAATCAGCACAAATGTTAAAGCCTAAACAAGCAAATGTTCCACATTAAACAGGCTCCTAATGATGTTTGGGTGCAGTACCTGACAGGTCAGCGGGTGTAGAGTAGTAGTGGCGGTAGTCCTGAATGAGGGGAGGAGGTGGGGGAATGTAATTGGTGTCCACCTGAGGCATGCTGGGAGTTCGACTCACAGGAGACACTTGTCTGTGGAGATTTAGTACCCTGTGAACACGCCAACAAACAAGCTAGCTTGAGTAAAACCTTTCGCAAAACCCACCCATAGAATGTTATTTGTGCATATTTAAGAAGCAGAAAATAGTTTGTTCGGATTTACTGAAATTATACTGAAATGTACCCATTATCCATCTGAGGAGAGATGCTAGATAGCGAGGGGCAGCTTTTCTTCTGAGGAGGTTCTTCATCTTCCTCTTCTTCAGACGAGCTGTCAAGAGTCAAATCAATCACCTCCACTTTTTTGCTGTTGCCTCCACTGTTGCCGTTTGTTTGAGAGTTCTGATCCAACACTGTTGTACGACATCCACCTGATTACACACACACAAACACACAGCAGACGGTAAACCAAATATTTTCATGGTGTATGTTCAGTTTATATAAGCATGTGTATGGCAAGGCGGGATGGCATTTCTCAGGGAAAGGTTAATGTCACATTCATTGTTTGCCACTATCGACCAGATCAAGAAACACTCCTCATTTCTCATAATTAAAATGAAAAGCTACTATGAAAACCACACGCTGATGAATAGAAAGTTCAAAAGAACAGCATTTATTTGAAATTATTTGATTAGATTTTTTATTACATTTTTTGTAACAATGTAACAGTACTGTCACTTTTGATAAGTTTATAAAAAAAATCATTTTTTGAACTTTTTTTTTATTATTTAAAAAATCTTCAATTATCAAAATACAATGCTGTGCAAAATTACTGTATTAGGGCTTTCAAGATGCCTTAGACCAATTCTCAATTTTCAAGAATGCACCCAAAATGCATCCTGCAGCACTTCCTCGACAATATGAGGAGATGATCAGCAGTAACTGGGACTGACCATCAATGCCATTGTATGAAGCCGACACCTCCTGCACTTCCCTTTTCGACCTCATGGGGGCCCAGCTGCCATCTTCTTTGAACTGGATTTCATCACAATCTAAACAGCTGTTCAGAATCTCCATAAACAACCTAAGGATGGACAGAGAAATGGGTAGGGAAAAGGAGAGGAAAAAGACACAAAGGAGAGATTAGAGAAGAGAGAATGTAAATTTAGGGATCATCCAATCAATGGAAAACAGCTGGAAAACTTCATGCAAAATCAAAATTATATTAGATAAAATAAATGTGAGTTTATATTGTTACATAAATATTTTGACCACAACTATATATGTGACCCTGAACCACAAAACCAGTCATAAGTAGCACAGGTATATTTGTAGCAATAGCCAACAATACATTGTATGGGTCAAAATTATTATTATTTTTCTTTTATGCCAAAAATCATTAGGATATAAAGTAAAGATTATGTCCCATGAAGACATTTTGTAAATTTCCTACCGTAAATATATCAAAATGTAATTTTTGATTCATTCATCTGGATGTAGAGCGTAGCATCAAAACACTGCAGGTGTGAACACGTCAACGCCCGGCACGGAATCATTAGCCGCATCTTTCCCAGCTGCGTAACACAAACAAAAGCACAGACAATCATGAAGGAATTAACACACACAGACATCCCACATGGAAAAAATCCAGACAAACTCACACACACACACACACACATATACATAAACCGATGTAGACTTGGACACAGACCAAAGAATGAAAAGAGAAACATGAACAAAACTTATATAATCATGGCAACATACAACTGACATGAAACAGCCTAATTGTTTTAGACAGATTTATGAGTCATAATATATAAAACACTCTGAATCTGATTTCATTTGAGTTTAAAATAAAAAACGTCAGTCTTTGCTTTGTGTGATCTTTACTTTGAAACACTAGAATCTTAAATAATAATATGTTATAAAGCTCTGGTTCTCATAAGGACTTTGTAAGGTCCTATAGCTGGTTGCAACAGACCTGTCAAGTGAAAAAAAAAGCCTTAGTGATAATTAGTTTGTAATTAAGAATTTTCTTAGCTTAAGAGGTTTGTTGCAGCGGGTCCTTGGGCTTAAACTAACATGAAGACCAAAAATTGCTCCAAAAATATGCATTATTGTGTATGTGTGTGTGTGCATGTTTAACCGAGTGATTGGACAAATAAGATGCTTACCGGACATAATAATGAAACTCTTAGGCTGGTGGTTGCTATTTCACTATCAGGGTCTGCCGTTAACTTTTCCTTTACTGCAGGACATGAGCAAAAGCACACATTAGCAGCTGAAACACACAGAGATCTTTACAACTGCGTTGCTATTAAAAAATGGCTTTGAGTTATTAATACAACTGGAGGAATGAAAGAACAATATGGTCACATTTAACCTGGCAATAATAAAGGATTGAACACTTCAATACATCATATTCACACCTACACAACATTCAGAAGGTTAGGATTAGTAAAATTTGTATTTCTTTTTGAACGCAATGAATATTTGTATACAGTGTGGATACATTAAATTGATATAAAGTCACAGTAACCACATTTATAATGTTAAAAAAAAGTTTTCTGTTCTGAAACGTCAACAAAGAATCCTGAAATGTATCACAATTTCCCCTAAATATTCCGGAGCACAAGCACAATTGTTTTCAACATTAATAAGAAGAAATGTTTCTTGAGCACTAAATCAGCATATGAGATTGATTTCTGATGGATCATGTGACACTGAAGACTGGAGTAATGACTGCTGTAAATTCAGCTTTGCCATCACAGGAATAAATTACTTTTTAATATATATTAAAATAGAAAATAGTAAAAGAAAATTATAATCTTCACCATTACACTTTAAAATATTTCTAAAACACTTGTTTGTATTTCTGAAATCATGTGAATAAATATTAGTGCTTCAGAATTTGGTTGAGCTGCCTCAGGCTGCTGTGCTGTAGCTTGTTTACAACAGGGGCATCAGGGCGTTCTTTCAGAATTAACGAGCCTCTTCAGACAGTTTATAGGTTGCTACATAAAATTTTAAAGTATCATGGAAAGTTTGAAGGGCAGACAAGAACAAAGAGCAATCTGTGTAAAGCAGAACTGGGATGTTGCATTTCTGTCAGTGATTAGATCAATCCTAGATGAACTCACACCATGCTATACAGAATAAAAGATTCTGGTATATATACACAATCAAGCACTACTTAGTCTTGATAGGTTTAAGAAAATGACTATTGACTAGTCTATGGAGCACAATTTTTAAGGTTTTAAATTGGATAAAATAATACACCAACAAATTAGTCCACAATATAGTTTATCTTTGCCTTGAGGAAGGAACAAGAGGACACAGAGACTATTTCTGTCTGAATTAAACTAGCAATAAAAAAATCCATCTTCATTGCCATCTTTAGATTAGATAACAAGAAAAAAAAACTAAATTAAAACTTAACAGAGCTGTTCAGTCACTGAAGTCCTCTTTTAGCAACTTGTTCAAACACAGAGGTTTCAAAATTCACATCTGAGGCAATTATTACAATTTAAAATAACTGGTTAAATATATTTCGAAATAATATTTACCTTTTGTTTTTCAGGATTGATGAATAGACATAAAAAAACAGCATTTATTTGAAATAGAAGTCTTTGGCAACAAAGCCCTTACTTGAATTTAATTTAATGCATCCTTGCTGAATAAAATAACAGTAGTATAAATCAAAAGTGTAAATCTGCTAAAAACCCAATGGAAATTCCTGTGGAAACCCATAGCTCAAAAATTTTAATTTTCTCCAGGTTTTAGGACAACAAACAGGACAGCTTTATTTCTCTTGGGAATGTGCATGCTTACTGAGTGCTCTGGAGTGATCTGGATTTCTGATGCCTTTAGCCCGTAGCCTCTGCAAAAGCATTGTAGATGACAGTTGTTTGACCAGGTACACTGCCATAGAGTAACTCTGAGAAAACAATCCAACAACTGATTCATTACTAGAGACACATTGGCATCCCACACTTCAATCCGAGCAACATTTTGTAACATAGTAACATCTTATTAAAACAGTATGCAGTCTATATATATTTTAATGTAAGTTAACATGCGAAATATGTAATAATTTATGGAATAACTTATTAACCATAACATCACAGTGAGACAATGCAATACTAATGCTAGGATATAACAGAGTGCAAAAACCTACTGCAGAGAAGAAGCTTCTTCTAGGCATCCTTTATTTATATTTTCAGGTCAGTTCTTACATCATCGTTTTATCAGTGCCATATGAACAGGTTCTATAATAAAGAGCCCTTAAGATTCAGTGAGAAGGTACAGCTCATATATTTTTCACGACTCCTGAGCAAGAGTGAAAAATTTAAGGAATCTACCACAGAGAGTACCAGGATTGCTCATTGCTTGCCGAGGTAAGTTATACGATAAGGAATGACATCATTCATGAAGCTGAATATTATATGTAGGTGCAGTATTATGCGCAAGAAGATGAATATGTTAGCTAATAAGATATAGGGATCTGTGGATGAAGTAATGAACTCCTGTCTGCCTACAGTAGTCTCAAAGTAAAACAGTGACGTTTTTTTTTTTTTTTTCAAAATCTTTTTCTTAATATGCATTAACTGCTAATGGTCAAGAGCATTCATCCATCACAAATGCATTTCCAGAACATATCAAAGGTAAATGAGCATTCACAAAGATCACAAATGATTTCAGATAATGTATAAATCTGCAGGGAAATATTTACGATTAGCACAGACCACAACACAGAGAATAGACATAAAGCATTTAAATTACTAATATGCAAGTTAATTCATTTCTGTTTTATGTCATTTCCATCAATACTCTACAAAATGACTGAAATAAGGGCATCTGCAAGAGTGATTTTTATTTTGATATTAATTTTTTTTTAGCTGTGCCTCAAAACGCCACTCTGAGAAAATACTAAAATACTACATACATGCTGACCTTTTCACACAAACTGCATTAAGCCGATGCTATAATTGGAAATCATGTGACTGCAAATGGCTGCAAGACACGTATGGGGAGCTAAAAATAAATGTTGATTTCAACAAGAGTTCCTATAATAGGCTTGCTTGATTTGTCTTATTAGACCACAAATTACTTTCCATCCTTTCCCATAAAAGGTGAAAAAACATTATCAAACAAATGTTGCAGTACTTGTATTCACAAATCAGGAGAGGGAGGGATTATTATTAACTTACACGTCCAATTTCTGAGGTCCAGGACACTACGATGGTGTTGGGGACAGTTGTGGACAGTCTGATCAATGAGGTAATGTTGATGGGTCTGCTGGGCCTCTTTGGTTCCACGCCATTTTTGGTAGGAGGCAGATATCCCTGGTGAAAAACAATAGGAAAACAACAAATGATGAACTTGTGTATTTCATTCAAATAAAAATATTTAAAATAATTTTTTTTGTTTTAAACAAACAGCGTTGTGAAAATGTAATTTACTGTAGACGCCAACAGTGTCTCGACCATGTGTCTCAGTTTAGAATGATGGATAGATGGACAAATGGACTGTAGTTTAACTTACTGGGAGATTACACGGTTTCCCATTGACTTTAACGCAAAGATTAGGGGGGAAGTGGTCCTCCTGAGGGCAGCTTGTCTCTGATAGACAAAACCTGGATTAAGCAGAAAACAGCAGTCTAGTGCTCTGAAGTTTTATACAGTATCATATTTATGCAAAACGTTTCAGTGTATCAAAATGTGAATAACTTACCGTAACTGTACTTGCACTGTAAAGTCACATTTGGTCCCCGATATGTCCCTATACAGAGAGAAATTCGGAAACTACTCATTTGAGATAATAAATGAGTCCAACATGACATCACACAATCAGTGCCTTATAGACACTCCTCTTCTTATTTTGGGATTTTGCTTTGTAACATCATTATATCATTTCTGAAGGAAATGTTATGAATAAACAGACTTACATTGAGCTGCTGACTTGTTGGACCTGCTGTGGCGTCAATGCAAATGCAAAACATGTTTCCTGAAACCTCTGGCTGTTATCTGAAGCTGCAGAGAGGGAAAAATCCAGACAAGAAAAATAACTACACTGAAACAACCTTACATAAAACATAAATGTTCATAGTTCACATCCAATGCTTACTGTGAACAAAACCCAACAGAACTGTAAATGACTTTGTGCTGAGTGAAAGTTTCATATAAGGTTTGTGGGCTCTGAAAAATCTCTGAACAAGTTTAAATATGCAAAGTATTTCAACCAATCCTTATTATTTAAATAAAGTCTTTTTAATGTTTCATTCTCAATAGCAAAGCAAGATTCTTATCCTCATAATTCCACCCATATGTGAGGGGGCTACAATCAAAGCTCGAAGAGTAACATTACAGTCTTCTCCCCCAACTCTGATCCATGTCCAGCTTAAATAACATCAATATTCCTTCAAAACAAACTTTTTCTGGGAATGCTCATATCATTCCCACTCAGTTCATTTCCACTGTCATCGAAGGGAGAGACTCAAGCTGTTTTTTCCAAAGGTTCAAGGACAAGATAAACAATGTGTCAGAAACCATTATGGTTACAGGCGGCACTCTAAAACGGTTGCTATGACAGAGTGCATGTTTGAAAACTAAATACAGATTGTGTGAGGATTGTTACTGATTGAAAACATTTGTTGTTGCGCTACCATATTCAGCCTGCAACAAGTCATGCAAGTCTTTAGGGACTGTGCTGTTAATTACACTCAGTAACAATAAGAATGCTATAATAACAGACTGCAAATCACAGATCTGCACACTCTAACCAATTTTTGTAATTTGAACAGTATTTTACTGTAATATGTACAGTAAGATACTGTAAAATGTGTATACAGTATTTTACTGTAAACAGCAAAGGATTATTGGAAAATATACGGTCACTACTGTATTTCCTCACTACTGTAAATCAATTTACAGTAGTGAACTTGTATCAGCATATTAGAATGATTTCTGAAGGATTATGTGACACTGAAGACTGGAGTGATGAAGCTGAAAATGTAGCTTTGATCACAGGAATAAATTACATTTTAACATATATTCAAATAGAAACCTGTTATTTTAAGTAGTAGAATATCACAATAATACTGCTTTTGCTGTATTTCGGATTAAATAAATGCAGGCTTGGTGAGCATAAGAGACTTTAAAAACATTAAAAATATAGAATCCATTCCTGTTAAATATGAAGTAAAATCCTTGGGTTTAATAATGTCTAAAGAAATACATACAAGAGAATTAGTAAACATAGAAGAGAGAATTGACAGTATGAAAAAAATCCCTTAATCATTGGCTTATGAGAGATCTGTCTATTATGGGCAGAATGCTCTTGACCAAAGCAGAAGGCATATCTAAAACTAATTTACTAATTTACTAAATAAGTGTGTATTCAAGAAAGTTGGAGGGTTAGATTTTTTGCTGAAATGTGATTTTGAGGTTTCCAAATTGCCAGTTAAGCTTTTAAAATTCCACAAACAGATTTTGTACTATTGGAAAATGATATTCGCCCAAAATGTTACACCGCATGGTTCTACTTTGTGGAATAACAGAACTATTACAATAAATAGAAAGACAGTATTTAAACAGGAGTGGTATGAAAAAATTTTTTTTATATGTTGATCTTTTAGATGAAACTGGTCAAATTATTCAACATAATTCATTCATGGAGAAATTTGAGATAAAATGTTCCTGTAGAGAATTTAATACTTTGTGTAGAGACATCCCTCTTGCTTTAAAACAATTAATACAAAACACTCTTACATATTCAAATGTATCTGTTAAATTGCCTGAGTTAAAGTTTGGAGAAGTATATATTGGGGACAAAAAAATGCAAGAACAAAGTAATAGGGAATGCATTCAAATGTAAGTTATATTCAGATTTCAATACACCTTCAAAATTAAAACTATTTGACAATGAAATATTTAAAAACAAATTCTGTAATTATCTTAAATGGCCAATTCTACCTAAAATGAAGGATATTCAGTTTAGGATTATTAATAATGTGCATCCAGTTGCCGAAATTTTACGGGAAAAGATTCTGTTTTGAGGTAGATCCTTGTGTTTTTTGTTTAGAAGAGCCTGAAACCACTGAACATTTATTTTTTCTTGTCCAGTCACATTGAAGTTCTGGCAGGATCTTTACAGCTGGCTAAATATTGATATCAACAGTGATATTCCATCACTAAATTTGTTTCAGGTTTTGGTTTATGCAGATGGTCTTTCGAAAAAGATGTCATTGATGTTAAACATTATTATTACAATGGGTAAATATCATATACACAAAAGTAAGTGGAATAACAGTAAACCCTCTTTAAATTGCTTTAAAAATGAATGTAAAAAATACTTAGAATCTTTAAATTATTTTACATCATAATAATATTTCACAATATAAAATTTTTTTCCTGTATTTTTGATCAAATAAATGCAGCAATGATGAGCATAAGAAACTCCTTTAAAAAACATTAAATCGTTCTGATCCCAAAATTTTGACCGGTAGTGTATATACATGGACATTTATGTATGATGAAGATGTAATTGGAAAAGTGTATATTTTGTCATATGCATTTTATTGTTCCCCATTTGAGTTTGTAAACTGATATTGTTCAATGATAATTAAAAAAAAAACTTTATGTACTACAGCACTCTTGCTTACTTGCTTAATATCTTCCTAAAAGAAAGCTTGATTTGTTAATGAGACATTCGATTCGCAGGTGGTTTCATGTTGTTATTTTGTCGAAGGTCATCATGTAAACACGCATCTTCAAAAATGACACAAAATGCTTTTTAATTTCCTGCTTCTTTGTGAAGCTGTTTTTCAGGTTGTTACCGTTTTACTTTCTCGACACTTGCTGCACGCTGTCCCCCTCCCGGCTGCTTTTATTCTCGATTCGTTTTATTTTCTCCGTTGCCTTCATTTGTCTTTTCCCTTCTCGTACACGTACAATACATCATCCTGTTGACAGGTCTATTGACTTTGCTCTATTTCATCAGCATACACCAAAAAGAGAGAGCATTCTCTGAATATGAGTGTGTGAGGCATCGTTATGGAGCTAATTACTTTCCATTTAACTATGAATATTGACCATGGCCGTGCTGATGAAAGGCCAAACAAGTGCCGCTATACACCCACATACCCACCCATTTTCACAGGCCGTACCTTCCTCTGGCCCTTTCTTTCCTGCTTTGCTTGTATTTAATCTGTCTCTTGTTCTCTCCTGCACCTTCATCAAATCTCTCGATTTCCTTAACATGAAACAGCAGGGTTGCAATTAAACCTGGAAAATCGACTCGACGACACATAATTAGCCTGATCTCTATTCTCACAATCAACACTGGGGAGGTAAAAGACGAGAGAGCTAGAGAAAGAGAAAGATGGGTAGGGGAGAGACAGAGAAAATAACGGTGTTGAGATGGAGGGAAACAAAGGGAGATTGACGGGGAGAGGCGGACAGGGGCATATGAAAGAGAGAGAGAAGAGAGAGAGAGAGAGAGAGAGAGAGAGAGATTGAGAGAGAGAGCACAAGCACAAGTTCCCTCCCCCATGTCTAATCTAAAAATAGCGCAGCAGTCTTTATCATCTGATTTGCTTCAACAGTTGGATGCAAAGTGGACGTGAAGGCCTGTGTGTTACAGTTTGTTTTCTGACAAACCTTCCCGTTTATCTGCATGCACCTAATTAACACAGACATAAATTCTGCTCTGTAGCCATGTGGGAGGGCAACAGTATCTAAGAGTGTACCTTTCTTAGCATCCGATTATAAATGTGAAGCCAAACCAAAAACCCGAAGATATGCATGAGTTTTTATGTATGACGAAACGCTGTGCTTATTCTAACAAATACTTTCTCATTGGTAAAGACATTTGTTGCTGAATTTAGATTAGAATGGGCTAAATAAGCATTTGATTTTCTCTTTCACAGGAGGGTGTCTTGTGGATTAGACTCTTTATTGTGTTGACTGCACGGCTGGCTGTGTGTTGTGTGATTGATAGTGATGTCTGTGTGTTTTCATTCTTCAGAGAGGCTGGCTGAGTCATGATTCTGGATACTGAGTTAAGTAGTTAGACTGACACTCACTGCAGCTGCACAACTTTGTGTGGAATTGGCGCAAAATCAAACAAACAAACCAAAATCGCATATCACGATACGAGTAATAATCCAGATAATCCAGTTCAGGAATGCACTAATATAAAAATTCCAATAAGATAGTAATGGAATGGAATAAAAATGAAAGGTACTTCATTTAATTTACTTTATTTTAATTTAGAAGCATGGATGGTCAATGAAATACATACTTTTTTCATCATTGTTACATGATAGGTTAAATCTGGTCTGAAAATCTGGTCTTTTGGAAGAAATTAATACTTACATTTATCAGGGACACATTAAAATTCAAAAGTGACAGGTATGACATTTATAATTTCTCAAAAGATTTCTATCTCAATTAAATTTTCCACGACAATATTAAGCAGCACAACTGTTTCAATATTGATAATAATAAGAAATGTTTCTTGAGCACCAAATCACTATATTAGAATTGTTTCTGAAGGACCATGTGACACTAGAGACTAGAGTAATGGAAAGGGGGAACAAGCATCCCAGCACTGATTGCGAGAGCAATTAATGTTACATGTATGTGTTTATTTTAGCAATGCTGCAGTCACTCATCAGCATATCAAACTGCATATTACTATTAGTAACTGTTTTATTTAGTCATGAGCTTTATGGGAAGCCAAACACGTCGAAAACCAAGCAAACCAACATCCACGAGACCCACATGACTGTAAGTGGATCTGTTTACATGCTCGACCCACTAATAGCGCGCCTGAGATCAATTTAGGTATTCGTGTAAACATAGTCAGTGAGTGATGTTTTGTGATGTTTCAGTGATGTTTGCCTTTAGTGTGCCCACACACACACAGCCCCATACTAAGCGTCTGTAGATCATTCATCTTAATGAAAACACTGCTAGGATACTCTAAATCCGACATACACACCAATAAAAATTCCTCTCAGTCTTTCTGC